GCCGTGCCCGCCGCGCTCAGCACCAAGGACAGAGCCCGGCACGGCGGGCGGGGCCCCAGGGGGTTCCGGGGGAGACACGGCCAGGATCACCCTCAAGGCTGCCCGGGAGCCCCCACGGGCCAGACTTTTCCCCATCCGGTGTCTGGTCCCGGGGGGGACCTGCGGGTCGTGCCTGAGCCCGTTGCGTGCAATGATCAGGGTGCTGTCCCAGTTAGTCCCCCGAGCCGAGACCCCCGGAGCCATAGGGTGGCCGTGGGGGTCCCGTGTGTCACCTCCGCGGCATATAGTGCTGTGAAGGACATCGCAGGGCCCTTGGGAATGCAGCACAGGACAGCCTACCCAGAGCCCCTGGGTAACAAAGCACCTGCTGGTGTGTGGGGTCCATCCCTGGGAAGGTGGGTACCAATACTGGTGTGTTTTGGCAGGAATGGGGAACAGAGCCTGTGCTGTCACAGTGCCACCCATTCTGGGGACACTGGAGGTGATGGCATGTCCTCAGGAGCTGGGCCCCTGTCTGTGTCCATGTCTATGTGCTGGGGCCAGGAGGGATTAAGGCCTTGGCTTGTTGGGGAGGGGATCATGCTGGGATGCCACGTGCCAGCTCCCAGCACCACTGGCACCATGAAGCCATCCAGGGACAGGTCGTGTTCAGGGCTGACCCTGCCCCCCAGAATCCCCTGGAGCAGGGGCTTCTTATGCCATCTGCCTGTGGGGCTGGACACCTCTCATCTTGCTGGGGGGGACCAGCATGACGATGGCACTGGGAGCCAGCAACTGCATCCCATGGCATTGCTGGGGCACCAGAAGCACTCCTGGGGCTGCTCTGGCTGTGAGACTGGGCTGGGGCCTGGCCTAGAGCGATGCAGAGCATGCCAGTGGGCACACGGTGTTATCTACCTGTAGGAGCTCTCATTTGGAATGTTACCTTGGAGCCTGCAGAGCTTGAGGAGGCAACCAGCCCCTGATCCTTCCCAGCTGCATTCAGAGATACCAGGGCAGTGCCTGTGTGCTTCATGCTGGTGATCCTAAGACTGTCCACAGGGGCAGAGACCAAGCATGGCACGAGGATCTGCCTGTCCCTCTGCTGAGCTGGCTGGGATTTCCCCCAGCTCTGCTGTGTTGTCTGCAAAGCCCTCTGAAGCAGCAGGGACTGGGGTCCCAAGCTCTGCTGGCCCTGGGTTCCCCAGGGCTGGATCTGGCTCTTCAGGAGGAGGGCCCCTGGGGGAGCTGCCTGCAATGCCCTGACACAAAGCTCTGGGAATCTGCCCCAAGGAGATGGGATTTGCTCCTCAGCCTCCTGGTTGCATCCTCGTTTCAGCTGCACCTTCCAGGCACTTTTAAACGGTGTCTGGCTTTTCGAGTTTGATGAGACTCTTATCGGCTTTATCTGCCATGGAGAGAGGCTTTAGCTGCAGTGATACCCCGGGCAAGTTAACCCTGACTGTGCCCAGCGGGACTGCCTGCTGGGCCAGGGGTGTCTGTCCAGGCAGGGCTGCTGGGGAGGGGGCTGCCAAGCCCCCAGGTCCACATCCCCCTGCTCAGCAGAGCTGCACCCAAATGCAAGCCCTTTTTTTCTTTTCTAATAACACATACTGGACAACACAGTAATCCTGGCTCCCCAGAGCCAAAATCTGGCCTTAGTCACAGCTTCGAGCTATTTTTGCTTCTCCAGCTAATCCCGGGTTGAGCTGTGCTGTGGTGGCCCCACTGCACCCCCATTGCACCAGCGCTGCCCGGGCTGCGTTCCCTCCTTCCCGCAACCTCCCCTGCCCTTGCCCTGCCTGCGCTGCCCTGGAGTGGCCCTGGGATCTGCTGCCAGCTCCTGTCCTTTGCTGAGAGAGGACATCCCTGTGGCAGGGAGCCGTGGTGGCAGAGCCTCTGCCCAGCCCGGGGCTGGGGGCTGTGGGGGCAGAGCATGGGGCAAGCACAGGGGCTGAAAAGGACTTTCCTCTGCCTGGTGCCATCTCCCAGCTGGGGCAGGGGTGATGCTGGGGAGTCTCCTCAGTGCTGTGGCAGATCTGCTTTTCCCCTGCGCTTCCAGCTGGTGCTGTGGGATCCTGATTCACTCCAGCTCGTGGCTTTTCTCCCACCCTCTCGGCAGGTGCCGCCGTGGTATCCTGGTGCCAGGCCTGGGGCTGGAGGTCCCAGCACTGCATCCTGGCACCTCTGGGCTGGCAGTGCCTGGCTGGGTTTGTCATTGCTCTGGCTGAGCTGCCTGACCCCTGGCAGGAGGTGGGAGCAGCAGATGGTAAAGGGGAGGCATGAATGGCCTGGCTTGAAATCGTGCCTCTGGCAATGGAAGCTGGACCTGGGCTCTTCCCGTGGCATGGAGCTGGGGTCCTGCCTGGGACAGGGCCTGGAGGGTACGGGGCAGGGAAGGGGTGAGCTCTGGCAGCAGCTGGCAGCAGCTACACACCTGGCTCCTCTTCCCAGAGGGATGTATGCGGGGCCAGAGGGTTGGGCTCCCTTTTGTGTCCACCGGGGTGTCCTGAAGCCCTCAGGGGCAGCTGCGTCTCCTTTCAGACAGCAACTTCATCCTGGCCAACGCGCAGGTCCGCCGCGGCTTCCCCATCGTCTACTGCTCCGACGGCTTCTGCGACCTCACCGGCTTCGCGCGCACCGAGGTCATGCAGAAAAACTGCAGCTGCTGCTTCCTCTACGGGGCTGAGACCAGCGAGCCCGTCCTGCAGCGCATCGAGAAGGTGCTGGATGGCAAGCAGGAGTACCAGACTGAGGTCTGCTTCTACAAGAAGGGTGGTGAGTGGTGCAGGGGGCTGGGGCCCTGCCCGTGGCTCCCTGGCTGGGACTTGGTCCTGTGCTGGCCCTGGGTGAAGCCACCAAGCAGCCAGGGGGGCTGTCCTGCCTTCATCACCTCTCTCCCCCACACAGGAGCTGCGTTTTGGTGCCTGCTGGACATCATGCCCATCAAGAACGAGAAGGGGGAGGTGGTACTTTTCCTTTTCTCCTTCAAGGACATCACAGAGAGCCGGGGCAGGAGCCATGTGGGTGACAAGAAGGAGGGTGAGCAATGGCTGTGGGATGGGGCTCGGGGAGGGGGTGTGCACTGGGCATGTGGCAAAGAGTGTCCCAATTGCTGCTGGTCCTGCCCACCTGTGTACACCTGTGCAAGGAGGGGTCCCCGTGGCAGCTGTGGCACTCCCACTAACCCAGCATGTCTTGTCCACTGCAGAGAAGCAGAGGAGCAAGAAGCCCGGGAAATCACGCCTGTGGGCAGCGCGGAGGCAGGGCCGGACAGTGCTGCACCAGCTCAGCAGCCAGTTTGCCCGGCGGGACCGCAGTGAGATGAAAATCAACCGTGTAAGGACCTGGGGGAGCCCTGCACATCGCCCGGTGCCCCGGGCAGCCTGGCAGTGCTGCAGCTTTCCCGGGACTGGCCGGCAGCAGAGCCCGGTCTAGCCAGAATGCTGCTCCCACACATCACCTCCCTGACCGCCCCCCCAGGCACACAAGTGCCCTCCAGACCCATTGGATGCACTATGGTCCAGGCTGCAAATGTGGTTTGCTGGAAGCAGCAGAAACCAGTGGGACCCCAGAGCTCACTGTAGGCAGAGCAGATCTCCTGGCAGGGCTGTCTCTGCTCACATCTTGGCTGTCGGGAACACCCAGCCGTGCCCCGGGGGAGCTGTTACCAGGCTGCGGCAGCCGCAGGGGCTCCAGCACCGGGGCTCCAGCAGCCGCAGGAACCGGCACCGCCGCTGTGCCGGCTGACCCTGGGGGCACTGCCTGCAGGCACGGGGCCAGGACAGGGGTCTGTCACCAGCCGGGGGCCCAGAGCTGGCAAGTGGGCAAAGGGGTTCAGTGTGCCAGTCTTGAGCCTTGGGGCATGGACCTGGCTCTCCCCTGGTTCCAGCTGCTCCTTAGCAACGCTGCGTCGCTGCAGAGGGTGGGGGTGGGCTCTGCCCCAGCACATGAATGGGCACCTGAGACAGTTCTGGGCAGCAGCTGGCAGTGCCAGTGGATTAGGGTTAATAGCATTAGCACAACGTTAATTTATGTGCTGTAATCGGGGATTCTGAGCCCATCTCTGAGGGTGACCTCAGTACAGCCCATGTTCATCCACCTCCCTGGCATTGGGGGGTGTCAGCCAGGCTGCTAGGGCCTGTGGGGGTGGGATTGTGGTGCTGTGGTGGCCCCTGTGCCATCCGTGTGCCGCCCTCTGCTTTGCTTCTCCTCTAGAACGTGTTTGAGAACAAGCCCTCCATCCCTGAGTACAAAGTGGCCTCGGTGCAGAAGTCCCGCTTCATCCTGCTCCACTACAGCATCTTCAAGGCCCTCTGGGACTGGCTCATTCTCCTGGCCACCTTCTACGTGGCTGTCACTGTCCCCTACAACGTCTGCTTCACGGGCACAGAGGACAGCCTCTCAGCCGCCCGGAGCACCATCGTCAGTGACATCGCCGTGGAGATGCTCTTCATCCTGGGTAGGTCCGAGCACCCTGTGGGATGGGGCCGTGGCAGGACAGGGACGCCTGGAGCAGCCAGAGGAGCAGCCCTGGGGGGTGGCGGAGAGGGACACTGGCACCACTCTGCCCCTGCTGCTGGCACCAAACACCGTGGGAATGGGACCTGGCTTGGCTGCAGAGCCCAGCCCGGCTGATGGCAGGGGTGGTGAGGGCTGGTCCTGCTCTCCGGAGCAGACATTATCCTGAATTTCCGGACAACATACGTGAGCCAGTCGGGGCAGGTGGTGTACGAACCCCGCTCCATCTGCATCCATTACGTGGCCACCTGGTTCTTCGTGGACCTGATCGCTGCTCTGCCCTTCGATCTGCTCTACGTCTTCAACGTGACTGTGGTGAGTGTGGCTGGGGCTGCAGGCAGGGGGCAGTGGGAGGGAGGTGACTCCTTTCACAGGGACCCTGTCTGGGAGCAGCGGGCAGCCAGGGGAAGCAGCGGTGGCATCTACAGTGGGAAACCTCCCACACCTCTTAATTTAACTGGAGGCTGCCAAAAATTACATTAACAGCCAAGGCACCACTCCAGGAGCTGCAGGTACCCGCACAGCTCCCAGCACCCAGCAGCCTGTGCTCTGCCCAGGGTACAGAGCAGCTCCGTGTCCATGTGCAAGTACCCTGTGCACACACAGCCCGTGGCAGCGGGGGGCAATTGCACGTGTCCCACTCCGGTGGGGGGTGACCACACATGCAGGCACACAAGGCACATACTAGTGACAAAGGCAGGTCCCAGTTGGGGCCTCCTGGGCTCTTGGGGGCCCCGTGGTGCAGCAGGTGTGCTGAGCTGTGGAGTGCACTGCTGGCATCAGCCCCTCCCCACCCGCTGCTAATTGGCAGTAGGGAGGGGAGGGCACAGACTTTAATTAAGCTTATTGGAGGCAGAGCAGCGTGTGGGGAGGACAAGGGCACTTGGGGCTGGAACTGCCCCCCTGAGCCAAACCTGGGGCCGCTTGTGCTGCCAGTAGGAAAACAACCATGACCGAGGCAGGGGCACTTTCACGGTGCTACAGGGTACACCTCTGCTGGGGCCAGGTGACCTGAAGGCACAGAGCTGTGCGGGGCAGGACAAGCAGGACAGGCAGGGACCCTGTGGGCAGCGGGGAGCGGAGCTGAGCCTCCCAGGAGCAGGTCCGTCCTGACCTGTTTGGACCCGACGTGTGTCCAAACCCTCCTGCCGCAGCCAGGGCACCTCCGGCTCCCTCTGCCGGGATCCCGGCAGGAGAGGCACAGAGTCTTCCGAGATGGTCCCTGAAAATAGGTTGGCTCTGCTTTCTGCCAGCTCAGCTCTGCCAGACACAGCCCCTGACAGCAGAGCCACTGGTCCCTGCTTCCAGCCACCTCCCTGTCCATTTCCAGGATGACAAATCTCCCGGGGGATTTGGTGACCCTGCCTGCTGGCTGGGTGCTGGGCATGGTGGTCAAGGGCTGCCTGGGGACAGGCTCTTCCCTGCGGCCCCGGAGCCCACGACCCTCCAGTGGGTGTAGGGGGTGGCAAAGGGTCCCTGCACTAGGGGAGGAGGCGGGGGGGGGGGGGGGTTGCTTCCCAGCTCTTCCTGCGGCTTGGCCGGGTTGACCCTCCTGTCCTGCTCCCCAGACCTCGCTGGTTCACCTGCTGAAGACGGTGCGGCTGCTGCGGCTGCTGCAGAGGCTGGACCGGGACTCGCAGTACAGCGCCATGGTGCTCACCCTGCTCATGTCCATGTTTGCCCTGCTGGCCCACTGGATGGCCTGCATCTGGTACGTCATCGGCCGCAACGAGCTGGAGAGCAACGACCCCCAGACCTGGGACATTGGTGAGTGGGGCTGCCCGGACGCCCGGCTCCCCCCATGCCCTGGGGGGGTACAGCCCTTCTGGTGGCTGTGGAGCGAGGCTGGGGCAGGGACAGGAGCAGTGCTGAGTGCCCGAGCCTGGGCAAGGGCTGACCCCTGGCTGTGCTTGGCAGGCTGGCTGCACGAGCTGGGCAAGAGGCTGGAGGCTCCCTACATCAACAACTCGGTGGGGGGCCCCTCCATCCGCAGCGCCTACATCGCCTCCCTCTACTTCACCCTCAGCAGCCTGACCAGCGTGGGCTTTGGCAACGTCTGTGCCAACACTGACGCCGAGAAGATCTTCTCCATCTGCACCATGCTCATTGGGGGTGAGGCAGGGAGCAGGGCAGGGCTGGGGGGACTTCATCTCCAGCTGCTGGAGCAGCGGGTGCAGCAGCTGCCCAGGGGGAGGTGGTGAACACGAGTGCCCTGTGGGGCTGGGGTTAGGGGAGAAGCTCCCCATGCCTCACCCTTCAGCTCCCCAGCTGCTGGTGGGAGCAGAGCCCGGCCCCTGCCCATGCCCCCACATGCCACAGCCCCCAGGCTGGCCCGGGGTGGGTCTGATGCTGCCCTCTCTGCCCCCAGCACTGATGCACGCCGTGGTCTTTGGCAACGTCACGGCCATCATCCAGCGCATGTACTCGCGCCGCTCGCTCTACCACACCCGCATGAAGGACCTCAAGGACTTCATCCGTGTCCACCGCCTGCCCCAGCAGCTCAAGCAGCGGCTGCTCGAGTACTTCCAGACCACCTGGTCCGTGAACAACGGCATCGATGCCAACGAGGTAGGAGGTGCTGGCTGGGCTGGGCCAGGTCCCCTCAGCCCCCCCATCCTGCACCCCGTGCGGGGCAATGGGGCCATGTGTGTGTGCACGTGTGTGTGTACAGACATGCACATGTCCATGCTGTGCTGCTGGCGGGACCAGAGGTGGATGTCAGGGCTGGGGCACGTACCTGCCAGCACGGGAAGGGCCGTGGGGAGCACAGGCAGCCCATCACCAGCCAGAGCTGTCCCCCTTCTCCCAGCCCAGAACTGCCAGGATCTGCCAGGGCTGAGCAGCGAGATGCTCTGCTCTGGTGGGGGTTCTGCCCGTGCCAGGCTGTGGGGACAGGTCCCTCCGCCCCCAGCACCCCGGCCCTGCTCTCCACAGCTGCTGCACGACTTCCCCGACGAGCTGCGCGCCGACGTGGCCATGCACCTCAACAAGGACATCCTGCAGCTGCCCATCTTCGAGACGGCCAGCCGGGGCTGCCTGCGCTCCCTCTCGCTGCACATCAAGACCTCGTTCTGCGCCCCGGGGGAGTACCTGCTGCGCCAGGGCGACGCGCTGCAGGCCAACTACTTTGTCTGCTCCGGCTCCCTCGAGGTGCTGAAGGATGATGTGGTTCTGGCCATCCTGGGTGAGGGCAGGCAGCGTGGGCTCCCCCCCCAGCCCCTTTTGCCCCGAGGGGCCCAGGGTTCACACCTCTAGCCCTCCCCGGTGCCCTCCTGCAGGCAAAGGGGATTTGATCGGGGCCGACCTGTGCAGCACAGACCAAGTGATCAAGACCAACGCAGACGTGAAGGCCCTGACGTACTGTGACCTGCAGCACATCGGGCTGCGCGGGCTCTGCGAGGTGCTGCAGCTCTACCCTGAGTACGCCAGCAAGTTCACAGCCGACATCCACCAGGACCTGACCTTCAACCTGCGGCAGGGCAGCGAGATGGAGGTGGGTGCTTGTCCTCCCTCGCAGGCCCCTCCCCGTGGTCCCGGGGACCAGAGCAGGGCTGGGGCTCCACACAGCCGTGGG